ACTTACAGACATTGACGTTGGACATGCCATCATTGCACAGCCTGCAAAGGGAAATTGATAAATTTTAATTATCCAATTAAGGAGACATTGTAAAAATCTGAGAACTGTATTTTCATTATCATATGTGAATATGTTTCATACTTATCAGCAACTTTGGTATCACTAAAATCTTTAAGAAGGGAAGGCATTGACAATTCCTCTTTACAATGAGGTTCTTCCAGACTTCAGGTTTATTAAAAAATTTGCACGTAACAGAAATGAAATGGTAGCTCTACCACCTATAGTGAACATGGTATGCCAGTTATCAGTCCTGACTACCCAAGTGTCATCCAGACTGCCAGCAGCCTTCTCTACCCATTTGAGATGATTCGAGACTACGCTATTAACGTCAAACCTCCAGGTATCCAGCCCAGATCACAACACCCCTCTCAAATCAAAGGTCAAGTGTTTACCTGTTCTCCTCTCCCTCCAGCAGCTTCCTGTACATGGCAATCTCAACGTCCAGGGCAATCTTGATGTTCAGCAGCTCCTGGTACTCCTTCAGCAAGCGAGCCAGCTCCTCCTTGTCTTTCTGCAGGGCACACTCCAGCTCTTCCAGTTTTAACCTGGCATCCTTGAGGGCCATCTCACCCCGCTCCTCGGCCTCAGCAATAGCTGCCTGCAGCTGCTGGTTCTGAGGAAGAAAAAAAAGGGAATTTTCTCAGATCTCATTTGGTCATTTAGGATCAGCCCTCAACTCCTAAGCAGAGGAGTCAAGGGGAAAAAAAGGGTAACATTTACAAAAAGTAAACAAGGGGTGGTTGAAGAAACCATTTCTGCCCCACACGTGGTCATTTGTGACGCAACCTGATGTCAGCATCCCATGAGACTCTACCCAACCCCTACCTGCTTCTTCACGTTCTCAATCTCAGCCCGCAGCCTCTGGATGTTCCTGGTCAACTCTTGGATCTCTATCTTGGTGTTACGTAGGCTGTCCCCATGCCTTCCAGCAGTGCTCTGCAACTGTTCGTACTGATGGCACCAAGACAAAGCAAACCTTCAGTGAAACATTCCTGATGCCTAGACAAGGTTCATCAACAGCTTCATAGCTCACGTGCTACTACAAACCCCTACCACGTTGGTCATGGATGTCCAACTCAGTGTAAAAGATAGTTCTGAGACTCAATTATTGGTTTAGAACTTTGAAATAGACCTTAGTGACACTAGTAAGCATCCCTTCGCTTCTGAAAAGCTACTTTGGGCAGGCATTTTCTAGTTCAGGTACATTTTTGGCCATCATTTTTGAGAGGCTTGTATGGTGCACCAAAATGAGATTTGGTACACCTGGAAAACAGTGAGTCAGATCCTTCAAAAGCAACTCAATTCCTCTTGAGACTTCCTTGCATGAGCTCCAGCACCGTTAGCTTGAAGAGATGTCTCACACTGTCATAAATTATCTGCAAACTCTAGACATCACCAAGAGTTCCTTAATTGCTTCCCAACTCACCTGGCTCTGGTACCAAGCCTCAGCTTCAGCTCTGCTGCTCTGAGCAATCTGCTCGTACTGACGCCTGACCTCCTCGATGATGCTTTCCAGATCCAGGTGACGGTTGTTGTCCATGGACACCACCACGGACAGGTCCCGGCTGATTGTCTGCATCTGAGACAGTTCCTGCAACAAGACAGGCAGCTCAAGTGATTCTCAAGCCTAAATCCATATGGATATCCAGTACAACCTCGGTGTCTTTGGCCACCACACACCTCATTGCAACTCCATCCATCCCAGGGGAAGGGAGAGCTCTTACCTCCTCGTAGATGCACCTCAGGAAGTTGATTTCATCGGTCAGAGCTCCCACCTTGGCTTCCAACTCTACTTTAGTCATGTAGGCACAGTCCACATCCTAAAGGAAAGATCACAGGGAACGGTTTCATTTCCCCTTGGAAATCCTTCAGGACCATGGAAATTACAGTCTGTGCTGAGGGTAAGAGCTGTGATTGTGTTATTCAATTACGAAATTAAACACAAAGGACTTCAAATATCAGCCCGCAGATCCTACAGTCTCACCAAATTCCCATTCAAGAGGGAGTCCCCTCAAAGCAGAGATAAAGACTGATATTCAAGCAATCGTTTTGTAGTGCGTGTGACTCACCTTCTTAAGCACCACAAACTCATTCTCAGCAGTTGTGCGCCTGTTGATCTCTTCCTCATACCTATGGAGAGTAAAAATACAAGCTGAGTTTCCTGAATTTACCTGCCTAAGGCCACACTAAACAAAATAAAGAAAAAAAAATATTTAGACTGGAAAAACTATGTCTCCAATTGCCATAAAAAGCATGTGTGTGAAGAAAAATGACTACCAAGCTGCTTGAGTTACCTTCTGGGTTAGACCGTCACTGCACTTACTTGGTTTTGTAATCCTCCACGTATTGCTGCATGTTCTGCAGCTCCGACTCCAGCTGTCCCCTCTGTGACAGGATTGAGTCCAGCTGCCTCCTCAGGTTCTGGATGTAATTTTCAAAGATGAGATCGAGGTTCTTCCTTGGCCCCAAAGGCCCTTGCTGTTGGAGGAGCTCCCACTTGGTGGAGAGGACCTTGTTCTGTTGCTCCAGGAAGCGGACCTGAAAGCACATGGAGTATCCACCATCACATGGGGAGCAGCAGGAGCAGCCAAGACACCTCTTTCATCACGTAAAAAGATTCTCCTTTGCATGACTATGAGAGAATCAGTTAACTTTTTGTTATTATTGCTATTATTATTATTTCTGTTGTTGCCTAAACCGCAAGATCAGAAAAAGGAGGAAATTTCTAAGTGATATTTAAGTCAAAGGAGCTTTTCGATGTAGCACCAGCTCTAAGTAAATTCCCATTACAGGTAGTGTACAAATCTTAGATTTCTAGTCTAGATTTAACAGCCTGGACATTTGAAAACAAAGAGGGGGGAAAAAAAGTATATTAGTGAATACTTAAATGGGAGGGTATTTGGAAAGAGAATGGTACAGGAGGGAAAATTTGTGCCTGAAACCTGCAGATGTTTGGAGGCGTTGAGCCTGCTTGCAAGAATAACCTATTAGTTGAGCCTGGTGCAACAGGCTAGATTAAAGCCCTGAAGACATAGCTTTGATCTCATATGGAAGAGAGATTCTCATCTCTTCCCTAGCAGGACTTAATAAAAGACTCTGCTCGAGCTTCTCAGTCTGCTGATACTTAGCTCAAAAAGAACAACATTTCTGCAGAACTTGCAAGTTCCTCCCAATTTTGACCCTTGATTAGACACAATCCCACCCTCTCACCTTATCAATGAAAGAGGCAAACTGATTGTTAAGAGTCTTGATCTGTTCCTTCTCCTGGTTTTTGACTTGCTGGATCTGGGGATCAATCTCAACATGGACTGGCTGTAGGAGGGTTGAGTCAACTTGCACAGGTTGGATTCCAGGGCCACCTCTACCGGGGCCACCAAAGCCTGGCATGCCAAAGCCTGGTCCACCAAAGCCGCCCATTCCTCCACCACCCATTCCTCCACCATAACCACCCATTCCTCCACCAAAGCCACCCATTCCTCCACCACTACCCATTCCTCCAAAGCCACACATTCCTCCTCCGCCCATTCCTCCACCAAAGCCACCCATTCCTCCTCCGTAGCCTCCACCAAAGCCACCCATTCTGCCTCCGTATCCTCCACCGCCATAACATCCACCCATGGAAATCCTTCCACTGCCACCTATGTTATGGAGACTTCTGCTGCTAAACCCTCCACAACGTCCGCCACCTCCAAATCCCCTGGACATAGAGAACGAGCTGTAGCTGCTCCTGCTTCTGCCGCCACCTCCTCCAAAGCCACCACCGATGGCAGAGCAAGAGCTGTAGCCACTTCTAATCCCGCCTCGAAAGCTTCTGCAGACAGATTGCCGAGACATGGCTGTTTCTTCCAAGCAGAGTCAAAAATCGAGAAGATAAGAAAGATCAATGGAGTTGTGCTGCAAGGAGATGAGTGCGAAGAGAAGGGAAGTAAGTCCCTCTGACTGGAAGGCAGTAGATGCTCTCTTTTATCTGTTTCTGGAGGTGGGCTGGGTTTGCATGGGCGTGAAGGAGGAGACAGTTACTGTCTTCATCAGCGTGGCGTGGTTTATAGATTTTCATCTTCAATTTGCCAAACATTGACCCTACCCAGAAACACACCCTATAATGCAGGACAAAATTAAAAAAGATACAACCGTGTCTACCAAATGGTAGCACTCAATGACTAAGAAGTCTTATGCTTTTGTGGTATAGTAACAGTCTCCCTAGGATATACTAGTCTCTTTTTTTCACCTTTCATCCATTGTGGTTGTTTCCCTGCTTATGTTTATCTTTATTTTGATCTTTCACTCCAAAGCCCCATGGCAGGCAAGCACAGTAGTTCATGCCAAGTTGTAGCACAGCTTTCACAATTCCCAAAACACACCTATGTTACACCCTTAGTCTTCTTTTTACATGGAAAATTGCCTTTGGCTTTGAGAAGTAGTTTCTCAATCTAGAGCCAGAGCTCAGCAAATTGCATTTTGATGAGGCTCTGTGTCTTTTCGATCAATAAAACCTTACCAGAAATGAGATACCGGAGCAATGACTGGCACTGGAAATTCATTTATCGTTGGACCAAACTCTTACTGACAGATAGCCAAGATAGTCTCAGCACCAGTGAAGAAATGCCGCGAACATCACAGATGGGAAATCCCTTTAAGATTTTCTGAAGGCTGCAAGACCATGAGAAGAGCCAGAGAAGACATCAGGAACCCAGCTGCTACGGTGGGAAGTGTGGACGGACGGACGGACGGCTCTGAGAATAGACTGAGGGAAGGAGGCATGCAAAATCATGCTGCCCACATAATAAATCCTGTAACTATTTAAATGCAATTAGCTAGGCAGAGGATGCTGAAGAGCTCAACTCGTTTGTAGAGACACATAGAAATGAGGAGAACAGAGGGCACAATAACTTTCACTCAAGGAAATGCATGTTTTTCAGCTGCCTGGCTTACTTCAGTATTTATATGCAAATATATTTTTGGCAGACAGACACACTTGTAAGGTGTGCTGAGCCCTCCTTCAAGAGCACGGGTAGGTATCCTTTTTAAGCTTATTTGAAAGCAGTCACCAGATTTTAGAAAGGCAGAAGCTTATCAGAACACTGGGTTTGATGCCACACTGAGTAAGGATTAGCTTATGAGTTAAACTTGCAAGCGTAAGACTATGACCCATCATGCGTTCATCCTTTTGTCTTGCAGAAGCCTGCTAATCAAATAACAATTACTGCCTCGTTTTACAATTATTTATTGAGAAGATCCATTTTTTTATTCGTTTTCAACTTTTTAAGGCCAGCTAAGAAGTTTTGAAGTTCAGAAATCTTTATGACTATTGAGGTATCTAACTGTGCTGGTAGCTGTCTAGCAAGGTTCTCAGACGTTCCCATAGGACACAGGCAATTAAGTGCTTCTTGAAAATCTACACTAGCAACTCTTGGTATCTTCAGATGTTTAAATACTCTAAAAATATCGCCCAGACATCTATTTCCAAAAGTGCCTAGGGACCCGGACCGTGGCGTAACGTGCAGCTAAACTGGCATTTCCACTGAAAAGCACGACTGTCCCTGCGCAGCCTGCTCATCCCACCTCCCTCCCCAGCACCGGCGTGGGTTCGTGAGCACGCGGGGAAGCGGATCAGGGGATCGATAGGGCTAAAAAAAAATATATAATAACAACAAGTCACTGTGAGACCAAAGGGATGGGGAGGACGAGGGGTTTGGTGGTTGTACAGCATGGTTTACAGACAATAAACACGTGGGCTGAGGAGGTCCCGTATGGCTGGTTGGTCTTCAGCAAGACTTTGTCTCCTAAATGCCACAGTTGGGACAAACGCCTGCCCAGCCTGGGATGTTCTGCAGCACAACCTCAAGCATCGCTGCGACCATGAGCCAAAAGACTTGACAAACATCTGATCCCCTCCCGGGGCGAAGGCAAGAGCCGTCTCTGGACACCCCTTCCCATCTAGAGGAGAGGCAAATCACAAGCAAGACCCGGACCCGGGCTGCGAACACGCTCCGCTTCTGATTTATCACTCAAATACATTCCACCGCCGACTGCCACACCACAAGGTTCAGGAGGGTGCCGTGGGTTTATAGCTGCTATAGATATAATCACGTATATGCTCATGCACAGACGCACACGCAGTTAACGATGCCTCCCCTTGCCTCCCTCTGCTTTACCAAATACATGGTTACTTTTTTCAGGGGGATTTTTTAGTTGTTTTTTTCTTTTCTGTGGGCGGGACGACATGATCAGAAAGTTTTCACATTCCCAGCCGTGCTGGGAGGAGATGCGTTAAGTCAGCACAACACTCAAGTCCGGAGCACCCCGTATTTAGATAACGTGCTCGTTGAGTCACGGCTGCGTCTCCGGCCAAGTTTAGGAAATCAAACCGGGATTTGGATATCAGCATCATCACCAGGTTCAAACGCAACAGGCAGCTTTAGACCGCGGGGATCTCAGACAACATTGTTGTACCCAAAACCCTAATGAAGGAAAAGTATTTTTAAAGGTCCCTTCCAACCCAAAGTGTTCCACGAGTCTATGAAAATAAATGGGCAGGAATAGAGGAAAAGCTGCTCAAGCCTTGAATAATTTGGGGGGAAAGGCTCATTTCAGCAGCGACACTGTCAACTGACGTGCACTGAAGTTAGGAGTAATCTTCAACCGCAGAAAGGGAGAATTTCTGGGGAAAACACAAAGCAAAGCTTTTAATTCCCACACTTTTCGTAAAACACTTGACATCTAAGTGTTTTCACTGTGCTTTTAAAACGGAGCAGAGTGGAGAATCATGAAGAAATTTAAGGAAACTTATTTCAGGCCAGGTAAAATGTTTTCCCTCCTTCAACAAAAGGCAGAAATTATGTCACATCTGGGTCCAGCCCAGGAGAATTTTCCCCTAATGGCTGGTGCGATGGTAGGAACAAAAGGCAAAGGCTTTTTGGTGCCTGTTGGTTTTAATTAAAGCGTTTGTCACATCTAGGAGCCTTTTGTCTCTTCATCGAGCTGCCCTGATGTCAGGAGTCGTTTGCTGGAGGCAAGTTTACACAGAGGCAGCTGGATTGGGGTGACTCTGAGGGAAGTAGATGTCTTTTCATTCAACGCCATCTCAGGTCCCTTTACAACTCACTAGAATATTTAACCATTGCCCAAAACATCTCCCCATCCAAGTAGCTACATGCCTTTGCTGGCAGCGTTGTGACATTCCACAGTCGCTGGTTTATGTCTCCAGCATTTACAAACAGGGAACGGAGCATGGGATAAATGAAATGACTCATCCGGATCGCAGAGCGAGTCTGCGGTTGACCAGGGACGTGATTCAAGGTCTCCTGAGCAAGAGGTCAAACCACACTGGGAGTTTTTGGTTCTAAATTTACAGGTCATCAAAAATATTCTACTTTTGTGGAGAGGTAGGGCTTGACAGGGGATTGAGATCTTGCTCTTCCCATGGTCTCAGTTACCTTTTGGAGGTGCCTTAAAAGCAACCTATGGATCCCTGGCCAGTCCAGACAACAGCAAAAGCTGCAGGGCTGGCTCCAGCATCATGGATACTGAGGAATTAGCTCTGAATTAGCTGGTGGGGTGATGATCACCCTTCCCTCTTCCACACCGTCCCTTATAGGATGCTCCAAAAGCACTTAGGGCTGTGCAATGTCCTTGGCATGACAGCACCAGCTGTGGGGACGACAGCATTGGGACCACCTTGGAGGATGGGGAAGCACAGGTGGAGGCCAGTGGTGTGCTTGGAACAGAGGTGGGCTAGCTAGGGAATACCCCAAGTTGGCCAACGTGAGCGAGGAAAGGGCTTAGGAAGAGAAAGGGGAAGGGAACGGTCTCCTGACATCAACTGAGTCCAAAAGCGTGCTCTGCTCTAACGGGGCCAGCTGCCTCTGTCACCCCAGGAGAGCCAGCAGAAGGACAGAGAAGAAGAGCACCCAAGTTCAACCCAGGTGCCTCTTCCTCTCCTGCCCCACAGCCAGGAATGGGCTCGTTCCCACGGGTGTCATTCAAGAAAACCCCGTGTGTTCCACAGACTCAGCTGGATCAGGCCATCACACTGAGCCCAACCCAACAATTTTGCCATCCCAACCAGCTCACCCCCACAAGACCTCCTCCACCCTCCTGCCAAACTTACAAACTATCCCAATTTTTCAAGAGAGAGGGGTGAGAAGGACGGGAGACCAGGCTACACATTCGCTTTGGTTCCTTTAAATGCAAACTTCAAAGGGCAAGAGAAAGTCAGGTAACACTTTCAGATCTCAGCAAAAGAGGAGTCTTGTTGCAACACGAAACTCTTTGGTCAGAGAGAAAACCACACAAGCTTACTGCCTCTAGTGTTTATTAGGGTATGCCACATGCCAAAGGAGAAAGGCTTAAGGAAACAAGCACAATTGTTCCCATGGTCACAATGTAAAGGTAAACCCTGAGCAAAACTAAACATTTTACAACAGCTTCTAAAGAACACGGGTGAAACTGCCAGTCTCTTGCTTAGGGGAAAACAAAAGAAAACCAAAACCAGACTGCAGCAGGGTAAAAAATGTCTTCAGCTGGGACTAGTCACCATTAGGAAATTCTTGTTTTGGAGTTTGAGCCCTGGCTGATGAGTAGCACTGATTAAAAATTGCACCACATCTGGATCCAGCACAAGATCTTGAAAGAACTCGAGCCTTTCCACAGGCGTCATGAGACGCGAGTTCTCTGAGCAGCACGGGGACCGGTCCCCTCTACCCTCTCACTTGGACCACGCTGCTTTATAGCCTTATCCCAGCCGTGTCTGGGGCTTCCCAGGGGATGGGCAGGTCCTGCTTCCACATGAGTCCCAGCAGCCCGATGACCAGCAGCTTCGCAGCATCTCGAGGGGAAGCCAGCCGTTCTCACACGCAGTCGTTAGCCGGTGAATATAGCTGTATTTTACTTTTCTGTGCAGTTTCTGAAGGACAGCGGAGATTTAAAATGAAAGAGATGGTTGCCACCTTGGCAAGGAAGGGGTGGTTGTGGCCATCATGAAATTTGTTTCCTTTCTCCTTTGGGTGCCGGGGAGGGGTGAGATCGCTCACTTTCCTAGACGCTCCGCTTGACAGACGTAGAGCTGGTGGTCTTCTTCAGGATGGTGCCAGACCCCACCACCACTGAGTTAGACCCTCCGCCCACAGAGCTGAATCCTGCCCCACCGGAGCCGAATCCCGCCCCAGCACCGAATCCTCCCCCGGAGCCAAATCCACCCCCCCCTAGGCTGTAGCAGAAGCCAGCACCGCCTGTGTTACAGACGCCTCTCCCACTTCCAGCACCGAATCCGATTCCTCCTCCTCCTCCTCCAAGGCACAGTCCTCCGCCGTATCCACCTCCCACAGAGCTGCTGCCGCCTCCCACCACGGCTGCAGAGAAGAACAGAAGGCACGAGGTTACCTCTGATGCCACCATAAAGGTTCGGAGCATCAATCCCAGCCCACCGCGCTCTCTCGGGAGTGGGGAGTACTACTTACAGATGCTGACGGCGCTCTGACACTCTCCAGACATCCTGCAAGGAAAAGAGACGGAGCGTCAGCTCCAGGCAGAGTGTCTGGACTGGTCCAGCTCCATGAAGCCAGGCTTGGTCCATCAGACCAATAACGGTAGCTATAGGACCATGGCCCATAGCTAGTGGAAAACCATTGGTATTTTAGTAGAGGAGATGTGACGTGCCACATTCTTTCCATTGATTTAGCAGGATTCGATCAAGCTCTTGCTGTATCCTCACCCACCTGCACTCCTCTCCTTCCAGGAGCTTCCTGTAGGTCGCAATCTCGATGTCCAGGGCCAGCTTGACGTTCATGAGCTCCTGGTACTCACGGAGCTGCCGGGCCAGGTCTGCCTTGGCTTTCTGCAGGGCTGACTCCAGGTCAGACAGTTTGGCCCTGGCATCCTTGAGGGCCATCTCCCCACGTTCCTCAGCATCCGCGATGGAGCTCTGCAGCGTTTCACACTGGAGGACAAGACGTGGGTGTGACGAGTGAGGCAGGGGCAGCCGGTGGGAGACGAAGCCACGATCCCAGATCTCTTGGGCTCAGCTATTCACAAATGCAGCAGGTTCCCTCCCACTTACGATGACTGTTACCAGACTATTTGCTTTTTGGGAAGCTCTGAAGGGCATTACCGAGAGCTCACACCCATTTCTCAAAAAAAAATGCAACCCCTACCTGTTTCTTCACACTGTCGATCTCAGCCCGTATCCTCTGGATCATGCGGTTGAGCTCAGAGATCTCGGTCTTTGTGTCCTTAAGACTGTCTCCGTGTTTGCCTGCGGTAGCCTGCAGCTCTTCATACTGGTAGGCAGAAGCGAGAGGAGCACGTTAGGTCCACCACAAGCGGTTCCTCACGACGACTCTCCATACCACCCCATGCAAGCCAAGGTGAGCATGCATATGCTAGCTCCAGTCTGGCTAGGTCCAGTACCAGCAATATCCCGGGTCTCAGCATCATCTGAGCTACCACCGGTAACTCTTCCACCTCCGCAGCCATCCGTGATCACAAGCAAGGCGTGCAGCACTCACCTTGCCTCGGTACCAAGACTCAGCCTCCACTCGGCTCCGGTTGGCGATCTCCTCGTATTGGGCTTTGACCTCTGCAATGATGCTGTCCAGGTCCAGGTTTCGGTTGTTGTCCATGGACAGAACCACAGAGGTGTCAGAAACGGTCTTCTGCATCTGAGACAGCTCCTGCAATTCACAGCAGATCTGGCTTTAGCCCTGCCATCATTTCCTCACAGCGTCACAACCCTTCTCTGCCCCAGCACCCCCCTCCAGAGAGCAGCTGGACCACTTACCACTTCGTAAAGATACTTCAAGAAGTTAATCTCATCTGCCAGAGAATCTAATTTTGCCTGAAGTTCCACCTTGGTCATATAGACTGCATCCACGTCCTGCAGGAGAAATGGGAAGTGAAAACCTCCTGCCTGACACACACCGTTTTATCTGACATTCAGATGTGAGCCCTTTGGTGCTGAATCAGTGCTGATGGAAGCAAGACATCCTCTGAACCAAGATGTGGCTTTGTGTTAAAAAAAAAAAAAAAAAAAAAAAAAAAAAAAGCACTTTACCTTTTTTAGGAGCACAAAATCGTTCTCCGCAGCTGTCCTTTTGTTTATTTCCTCTTCATACCTGTTGATTATAACGAGGTAGATTGAATCTGTCTGCTTAATTTGGCTCCAGCTGCTGCTGGCAACTAGAGGCTGTTGGCCTCAGACTAATGAACGCAGCAAAAATAGAGCTGCCATGAGCGAGATTTATGGACAAGCAACGGCACTTTGCCTTTCGAGACGAGTCCTGGCCTCTGCCATCTCCGATGCCTTGCTGAGGAAAGCCTGCGAAGAGGAATCCTATCTCTGCCTAAACCGAGCCCCTGTGGCTGTGGCCACTCCAACTCCTTCTACAAGACCCAAGGACCTTCAGGTCCTCAACATGGGCCATTTCCAACTGCTTGTTGGGGCAAGTAATTGCTGCAGAGCATTGAGTGGTGGAGACGATCCCCAAAGCAAAGTCAATTTTCAACCTGCAGCCTCAGTATTGCACGGGATCTGGTTGATCCCGATGAGTCCCAGACTAGCTTTCCCACCAATTTCTGTAACTCCATCAGTGGAAGCCTTTCTCCAGCCTTTGTTCTCTTCCGACTGGACAAATTAATCTAATAAATAATAGCAGGAAAATGATCCTTTCTTTTTTTCCTTTTTTTTTTTTTTCCCCCCCCACATCACCTTTCCAAAGAAAGCTCTAAGCTTCAAATCATGAAGCATATTATGGGAAGGAATCCATGAGGAAATCCGTGAGGAAATTATAGTAGGATTTAGCAACTGATCTAATTAGTTCATTAAATCATAATGTCATGGATTCTTAAGTGAGGAAGACAAACAGTATCCTGCTTTAGTGAGAAGCATAACTCAGACAACAATACCTCTTGAGAAATACCTTGAAAAATCACTGCCTATTGTCAAAACTCAGTTGATGAAAATTTCCCCAAAACCCTTTATATTTTCCAATCATTAAAACAAGTGAAATATTGCCATTCCTTATGATCCCTTGAATTTCCTGACTGTTCAAAGTGAGTTTTTAATCTCTTATTTTTTCACCGCCAGAAAACCCAACCGTGACTACACCGAGGACAACGTACTTGGTCTTGAAGTCTTCCACCATATCTTGGAAGCTCTTCAGCTCTGACTCCAGCTGATGCTTCTCGCTGGAGAGGAGGTCTAGCTGCTTCCTCAGCCCGCTGATGTAGGTTTCAAAATAGGGGTCGAGGTTCCTGCCACCCGTCCCTGTGCCACCCTGCTCCTGAAGGAGCTTCCACTTGGTCTCCAGGACTCGGTTCTGCTGCTCCAGGAACCGGACCTAAGTGATCACAGGGATGGGTAACAAAAGAGTCAGGCTATTCCCAAAAGCATCTTTTTATCGATTTTTCGCTCCACATTTTCCATAATTTTTTCCCATTGTGTTTAACCTTCCTGCCCGTTCTCATCTCCAGTGAGCAATGACTCCAGGGTCCCACTAGACAGATGAGACCACAGCTGTAGGATGAGTGGGCAAAGGTGGGTCACCTTCCCTCTCCAATCTCACAGCCTCTAAACAGGAGAAACACGGCGAACTTCATAGCTTTGGCATCTTCTCCTTAAAAATAGGCCAAAACACCCAAAGTCCTTCAGCCCACGGATAGACAGAGGCCACCAGCAGAGACCCCTCTGAGGATGCTCTGCGTGTAGGTACATGGTCCCACAGCTTAGTACCAGCACCATGGTCTTAAGAACCAAGGATCCTATTCCTGGGTTTCTCCATAACCTTGGGAAAGCCACTTCTCCAGCCACCACCTCTCTGTCTGCAGGGGTTCTTTGGGGTAATTTGGGCAACGCCTGGCTCTCTGGGTATTATTGGATGGGTATCTCCCAGTAATTGCAACCAGCACGAGCCGTGGTGAGCTCAGCTCTCCACCTCCCAGCCCCGGGTTGAAGCCGCTCTCACCTTGTCAATGAAGGAAGCAAATTTGTTGTTCAGCTGCTTCATCTCCTCCCGCTCATGTGTTCGCACCTTCTGGATCTCAGGGTCGATTTCAAGGTTGAGCGGGGCCAGCAGGCTCTGGTTGATGGTCACTTCCCTGATGCCACCCGGCGGGCAAGGGGGAAAGCCTTGACCTCCCATCCCGCCGTCAAATCCTCCACCAAAGCCACCACAACCACCACCGAGGCCTCCACCGAAGCCGCCTCCGACCCCACCACCATAGCTGCCACCAAATCCTGCCCCAGCACCGTAGCCGTAGCCAAAGCCTCCTTGGCCACCAGCCCCAAAACCTCTGCAGACACCGCCACCTCCACCGAATCCTCCCAGAGAGGTGCTTTTACTCCCTCCCAAGCAATAGAGGCTCCTGCTGCTGAAGCCACCAGCGTTTCCAGGTCCCCTACATCCTCCACGGGACACAGAGCTGAACGTGACCTTGTTCCTCCCTCCAAAGCAAGCGGAGCTGGAGCTGAATCCCTTGCCGAGACCACAGGACTGGCGAGACATGGTGATGGGTCCCAAAAAGTCAACCCGTGAAGAGAGAAGAGCCGAGCGATGCGGTGCACAGGAGGTTCGGAGGCAAGAGGAGGTGAGTCCTGTGGGTGCTGTGGCTGTGCGCCCCTTTTTATGTGCTCAAGGAGTTGGCCGGGTGTCAGGGGAGTGGAGATGTCTTTATTTTTTATTTTTTTTTATTATTATTCTATTCATTGTTTTAGGGCTTGGAAGGATGCCCTCTTCTCTTTGCCACCACCATGACCTGCCTCAAAACACTCCCTCGAGAGCTAAGAAAAACAAAGCTATTGTTGGTGTTGGAAGCACGACTCCAAATCAAATTCCCTTAGCTGCAACTGTCAACCCATCACGGACCTTTCTGAGCCTCTTACGGCGAAGACAAAGCACTACAAATTCCTTGACATATTACACCCTCAAGGGAGACCCTTGTTTTAGCTAAATCATTCATTTTGAGCCTGATGGCAGGTGCTTGGTTCACTGAATTCCAACAAAAACGTGATTTCTCAATCACACCCTCAGATGCACTCCCGTTCAACCTCCTCCTTCAGAAGAGGTTTGACTCGGGTTGTCCAAAACTGTTTCACAACCAGAGAGCATTAGTACTTGGCAGGGTTATAAAATTAGTTTCATGTCAATAAAGATGACTTAGAAACACTTTTAAGAAGGTTTTAAAGTCATTTTAGATCACCCTGAGTAGTCTGTTGAGCCTGGAGGGACGCGAAGGGATTTAGAGTGACCGAAATATCTTGAATTTTCCGCGTTGCACGCCCTTCGCCAGGGCCGAGATGCCATCACCAGCCCGCAGAGCTCTGCTCCACGTCCGTGTCGGCGGGTCCGGATCCCTCCCGGGCTGGAATCCTTCCAGGCATTGCCGGGATATTTCCCGATCATCCTCGCAGGGTCTCCAGCCACGAGCCCCCTCCGCAGCACGTGGCGCTTGGCAAAGCCGCGCTATGACCCATTAGCGAGCTCGCATTGTTTAAAAAAAAAAAAAAAAAAAAAAAAAGCACGACTTAATTGCTTAACCGCTTTTAATTTATATTTTAATGAGCGGAGGTGTCTGAAGATGCCTTCCGACCGAGGATCCACGTTTATCCCACCGTTACAAAAAACTAAGAAGCCGTAAAACTTCCCCCCAAACCACAAGCTGCAGCTGAAGCCGTGACAATAAAAGCCAACTGTGTAATTATCCTTTTTATTGCAGACGCTCGTCGGAGAGGTTTGGGGAACCGGTTTCAGCTCCGACCCTATTCACCCCTAGCTTTTTTTTTTTTTTTTTCCCCCTGCAAACATGCAAATCTGGGTCTGGGTGCATCTCTGCAGGAAGGGACGACTTTTCCTCCTGAACCTCATCGGGCATTCGTTGAACTGCAGGATTTTCAGCCCAGGGGGGGGATTTGCATCGCAGGGAACAGGGAAACTCGCGCTTCCCTTTGGCAACCAGCATCCCGCACGCCCCGGTCCCACCTGGAAACCCTCTCCCACCCCGGGGCTCTGGGATCCCCGATTTTCCAGCTCGCGGTGAGGACGTGATCGGGGTGAGAAGGGAAGCGGCTTGAACCCAGCTCTGGCCGGGGGAAAGGAGGCGGCGGCTGCATCTCCCCGACCTTACGCAACCGGCAGATCTGCCGAGAAACCGAATGAACCTGTTCGAGCCCAGGCGGAGAGCGTAGCTGCTGGGAGTTCCCAGGGTGGCTCCTGGCACGGATCCTGGCTCCCCGCCCGCCGCGGCTGCCCAAGAAGCCGGCTGTTGGGCCAAACCACCCTGCTACACCCATGAAGTCCTGCCCCACCACGGTGGGGTGGGAAAAACTTGCTGGGACACTGGGGCTCCCTCCCAAATCCATCCCGCATCCCAAAGCTGAGCATCTCGGATGCTCCAGCGCTTGCCGGGATGGTTAAATGGACCAGGAGCAAAGCGCCGGTGACGGCAGTGTCTGCTGGGGACCCAACGTTGGCCACCGTCACCCACCCGGCACCAGGACGGAGTGACCCGGCGGCAGCAGCAAAGTTTTGGGTTGAGCATCCCGGGGTGGGAAGCACGCCCTGGAGATGACCTTCCTCCCAAATCCATGGGGTGGGGAGCGGAGACAGAGCCCACGGGACAACCCGGCCCCGCTGTAATTGCCGGCACCTCCTGTCCTGCCTCCCCCACGGCAGGCTGGGAGGAGAGACCGAATTCCAGCAACTCCTCTCTCCTCACGAGAGCTGTGACGGTAGCGAAGCTGACGTAGCGTGCGGCAGGGATTAGACATTTCCGAACGCAGGAGACGCCAGCCCTCCTCTTAAATACCAGCTGGTAGCTCAGGTTCCCTTCCTACACCAGAAATCCAGATAAAAATCTCAACATCGGGTTACGGATGGGTTTAAATCCACGTGGCT